AATAATTCTTAATGTACAATGTACTTTAAAAGTAGTAGTTTGTTCGTTTGTTATGGATTTCACGCAAAGCTACACGAGGGCTATCTGCGCTAGCCGTCCCTAATTTAGCAGTGTAAGACTAGAGGGAAGGCAGCTAGTCATCACCACCCACCGCCGACTCTTGGACTACTCTTTTACCAACGAATACTGGGATTGACCGTCACATTATAACGCCCCCACGGCTGAAAGGGCGAGCATGTTTGGTGTGACGGGGATTCGAACCCGCAACCCACAGCTTGGGAGTCGAGCACCCTAACCACCTGGCCATGCCGGGCTAAAAGTAGTAGTTAGAAACATAAGGCCCGGCATGGCCAGGTGGTTAGGGCGCTCGACTCGCAATTTGAGGGTCGTGGGTTCGAATCCAAGTCACACCAAACATGCTCACCCTTTCAGCCGTGGGGGCGTTATAATGTTACGGTCAATCCCACTATTCGTTGGTAAAAGAGTAGCCTCAAGAGTTGGCGATGGGTGGTGATGACTAGTTGCCTTCCCTCTAGTCTTACACAAACAAACTAGAAACATAAAGTTAATAAAAAATTAATCTTTAGTTTCTGTCTTGTAATTCTTAGCAAGTCAATAAAAGCAGCGGAAAAGTAAGATACATTTTATTTAAAATATCATTATCATATCCTAAAAATGTCGCAAGTGACACATATTGAAAAGCGCTATATGACTACGTGAATATAAGTAATACAATTCTACAATTTGTGTCACTAATATTTGATCTTTCAATTTCAAAACCTTTAAAATTTCAGCTGTTAAAATATATCAAGGTTGGTGTTTTTGTAGCTATATTTTTTATAACGTGATAAATCTTGAAAGTTGAGAATAACTTTCAGGAGCTGTAAGGAATATTCCACGTATCAAGTTTGTTTGCTTTATGACACAGTGGTTCAGCGGCAAATCTGAGGGCTCACATCGTTAAAAATCGGGTTTCGATACCCGTGGTATAACACAGATAACCCATTGTGTGGTTTGGTGCTTAACAATGGTACTCACCCTTTTCTTTTTGTTTTTCTTTCGTACATATTTGCCTAGACTTTTCTAATAATGAGGTATTCTTTGAAGTTCCATTTTTATTCCCTTCGGTACTAGCACTCCCTGTTCGTAAGTTACGCAACTCAACTTCATGACTTGATTTGACTGGATAGTGGAACGAGGATGAAGCGGATGTTAACGATGAAAGTCTTGAAAAAGTAAAACGGATACTTTAGTAATCTAAAATAAATAAATAAAAAGACACACAAGAAAATACGAAACTTTCTTGGAGAAACTCTTTGTTTTTGAAGATTTCAAATGGCATGGAACTTTCGGTAGATGAGTATTCTATAAAGCTGAAAACTGAAAGATTATAAATTATCCATCTCTTGCAATGCTTGTTTTTATCACAGTTACCTAAGTATAAAAGTTTAAAGATTGTCAAAAGATAAATAATCCACCATCTGCATTATGCTTAGTGTAAGTAGGTCTAACAACGTATTGACAAAAAGTTATCTATTCATCATCCAACACGTGGTCATTTGACTTAAATACCTTTTTATCATTGTAGCTGTCTTATTAATTTTGTAAAAAAACAAACAAAAAACGCTAATTATGTCACCTGGAGTTTTCCAGCTTTTCTTAATGTTGTTTCGTTTATTCATTCGTCGTCATTATTCCAACTTCCATTGAAATAAAAAATATTCCTATCAATTTTTTGGTCTCTGGTGGCTCAACGGTAAGTTTGAAAGCCCGTAACGCTAAAATTCGGGGTTCGATGGCTGCTGTAGGCATTGTGTAGCTTTGAACTCAAAAATAAACAAACCTATAAGTTTTCAGAAATTACACAACTTTAACTTGAAATAATACTAAGGTTTAGTTATATATTTTAATTGTTCAGTAAATCTTGGCCAAAATTTAGTGTTACAATGGATGGTACGCAGTGGCTCTACAATTCTAAACTTATTACCTGTTTGTAATTAACCTAAAGTTTAAATGGCCCCAACGCTTAACACATTGTAATTGGTTTCCGAAAAGTAACTAATTGACAATAGACTTAAATGTACGATCTTCTACATGATATCATGAGTTTCTAGTAATTTATTTCAATTTTTAATATCTTATTGATAAAATTAATTATAATATTAATTAGCTTAAAATGTGAAAGTATAATACAATGTCAACAGTCAAGAACTGTATAGATATGCTTGTCTTGCTGCATGCTAATGACTTGAAACACGATGTATTGTGAATATATATAAAGCATAGTTGTCGTACCTTTATGTCTGGTGTCACAAGTTATTGTGGGGAACTAGTTGAAGAAACTTCGATGAGATTTGCTAGGGAGGTTCGGGTGGATCCCCTAAGGATCGAGTTTACATGTTTAAGTAATTGGATGAACGGCTCTAGTTTGGCAGCCATTTCAGTTTTTATCGCCTTAATTTATGCCAAAATGAAAGTTCAACTGAGCGATGTGGTTGGAATCAATAAACGATAAGCTCACTCAGAACATAAGTGACGTTTAATGCCGTGCGTAGCACGGGTACCTTTGGATCGAAGAACAGTTCGTGTGCTATAACTCGAAGACAGTGGAAGTGAATAACCCATGACTACATTCACTGTATTACGTTTTTTAAGCATGGCCAAATATATTTGCCCGCTGTATAAGTTGGATTATTGTAAGGTTTATACCGATAAAATTTGTTGCAATGTTGTATATTATGCTGTTTCAGGTACTTTCGGTCGAGGACTTTCTAACTCTTTCGAAATTGATTTGATCAGCACTTTTGAATTTTTAACGCAGACAATAATTTAGTTTAATTATTGTAAAGAGAACTATTACACCTTTTAGCATGTATGACTTTATATGCAGGGTCTTGATGTGTATGAAAGCAGACCACTATTGTTTATATAAAGAAATTTCTTTACTCTTATGGAATTAAACTTCAGAGTTTGCAGATATAATTTTGCAAAGTTTCGGCAGAATACTAGTAGAGATTATTATTTCTATAATTCTAAGTAATCTTAATACGGCATCCAAGAAATAGGAAGATGACCTTAGGAAGAGTTCTTTCGCTTTTAATCTTTAACTTGATTTCGGTGTTATTTAGCTTTATTAAGAAGCTAATGCAGTAAAAGTGGAATTCTAGATTCAAAACGCAATGTTTATAGTTACAAGGCATGCCTATGTTTCAACTTAAAACTTTTAAAGCTACCATGCGCTTGTAACTTAGCAAATAAACTATAATAATTACTTAATTATAGTATAGACTTAAACAGTAAACATTTAGTTTTGAATGTGTTAAACCTAACGCAACGAAGATGATTTATTTCACACAGGCGGTAAATAAGCACAATTTAATATTCTAAATGATGAAACGCCAGACTCACATTAGCAATGCTACTGAAAACACTGACAATGTTATTTTTTTTTTGTAACACCTAATATTCACGCTAAATAGAACTTTCGATGTCAGTCCTACTTTTCACTTTGTTATATCAGATTTCTTCCGTAATTATTAAAAAAACAGAATAACCATCATAATTTCAAACATATTAAAGCTGAGGCTAATCCTTTAAATGATAATCCATTAAGATTAACTAGACATATAGCTAAAATGTTTGAGAGTTATTAATAACAAATATATACTTCGAAATTAATAATGTTAAATAATTATTAAAATAGTTCTAAAAAATACCAGCAGACTCCGAAAATTTAGTTCAACTTACCAAAGGTTTCGTTTGTTTTTTGATAAGGTCAAAGGTTTTGATAAGGTTTAGGTTTGACCTAAACAATGGGAAATCTGTGTTGTGTCAACCGCAAGTATCGAAATTCGATTTTTAGTGTGATAAGCCCTCAGACTTACCGTTGATTCATCAGGGAGCTTTTGAAAACTTCTATAAATTAGTTTCATGATAAATAGCCTACAGATGCGGCATTATTCGATATATAAGAATCTTTTAATATGTTTGCCAAAAAAAGGTTTTAATTTTTGATATTAATTCATGGTTTTCAGCTTCTTCATAACCAAACTAAACGGATAAGTAATTTTTGTTTCATAATTAATAACACGTTTACGTCCTCTTACTTTTATTCTGTACTTTATGGTGTTTTATATTTGTTTGTTTGTAATTAAGCACAAAGCTACACAATGGACTATCTGTGCTCTGCCCATCACGGGTATGGAATCCCGGATTTTAGCGTTGTAAGTCCGCTGTGCCACTGGGGGGGACGGTGTTTTATGTCTTCAAACAAATACTATTCGTGTCAGCATTGAACAGTATATAGATGATACTGTATACTTGATATTGTATATTTCTGAAATTAAATAGACTAATGTCCACTCCTATAACGAAAACATAAATTATTAAATATATTTAATAGAAATTAAAATAATTTTAATTAAAACAAACATATTTGGGTTAGAAAAATTAGACTAAAACAAAATAGAACATAGCAGTAAAATAATTCCAAATTTTTATAAAGTTTTTGTGAAGTATATTTTTGAAAACGCATGTAGCTCTTTAGCCTAAAATTCCTGTTTGCACTTTAAAGTCAGTACAAGTATTACAGATTTGTATAGTTTTAAGTTTGTTTGTTGACTTTAGAATTTTAGCACATAGATAGTATAGCAAGCAAAATTACGTTATTTTACATAAACACTAATTTCCTATGTTAAATGTTAAAATTGTTTGCATTTCCCTTTAATCTTTCGTGTAAAAATGTAAAATGTTTATGTTCTTAAATTTTGTTTCGTATTGTTTTGTATTTTCAAATTTGTTTTTAACATATGTTATAATTTACTGTTTATTTACTGAGGGAAGTTATTATCTTTAACCATAACTTTCATTTTCAATAATCTATTTTACTGAACATATTTAATTTATTGTTTTATTAAGTTTGTTTGTTGTAATCATATTATATTTCTTTGGTACCTAAAAAGTAACGACCTTTACGTTTTTGCTGTTAATAGTTTATAGTTTTGTGTAAATACATTTTTAAGTATATTCTTAAGCCTTTATTTACTCTTCTTTTTTTTAATACTCTGTATTCCAGCATATCACTTTCCAATGTTCTAAGTTTATTCTGTTAGTAAGGTTTTGGTGATTTATATTTTCATTAAATTATCCTTTTTTTGGTTAATTTCCTTTTAACTATGATCATAGTTTGAAGATTTGTTATAAATTACGTTATTTCTGTTATTTCATATTGTAAAAATCTGTTGGTGGAGAAGGCATTATGACTTGAAACATTACACTTAACGAAGTGCCCCCGCTAGAATCCGGGTTTCGATACCCGTGGTGGGCAGAAAACAGATAGCCCATTGTGTAGCTTTGTGCTTAATTACAAACAAACTTAACGAAGAAGAAATACATCTTATTATCCAGAGATTCTGTACAAACAATAATTTTCTGGGCTTTGAAATTTAGGTCTGGCTTTTGTTAGGATAGCGGTTCAAAAGAGAACTATGCTCACCATGGGTGTCGAAACCCGGATTTTAGCGAAAGTTTGCAGACTTACCGCAATGCTAATGGAGGAAATTTTCGATAAGACATTTAAAACTTTTTCTCTCGTCTATATAGTGTCTATGTAGACTTTTTTATTACTTGATTTTCCTTTAAGGTTATTATAGTTAGAATATTATCTCTTAAGTTAAGCCTTTGATCCTGGGATTTGATTCAGGCCCGGTGTTTGTGGGGAATAAACAAAGTCTATGCAAAAAACGACTTTGTCTATTTTATCCCATTTTACTAACTTGTTAAGGTAACACAACGTAAATAAAAATATCGTATACCGCTAGGTGATAATACGATAAACACAACACAATGCAAAGCATACACTTTTCAATTTTGACGATTAAAGGGTACTTTTGGTGATCGCTGGGTTATGAAACTGCTTTTTGTTTATGTTGGTGTTACTTATCGATGGTTTTACTGTAAGATGAAGCCAAGAGCGTAGCTGAGCACCGACCCATAGGGCCTGTGCTCCGGAAATATTTCACAGTGCCCCAAATGTTTTTTAAGATCTCGCGTAAACTAAATTTAATTGAAATTAACATGATTATGAATTAATTATATTAATAATGTAGTAACGGCTTCTTGAGGCTCAAACCCCAAATTTTTCGGTATCTAGCGACGCTCCTGATCTTCGCTGTGTTATAAGTTACTATATCAGTCATCCTTTGAGATTAATGCACATATACACCTGGAAAAAAGTTAAGCACCCCCAAATATTTTTCAGGATTGCTTATTGAAAATAAGGTTTAATTTTCATGATGTTGAGCAATGTTCATAATTTCAAACATAATTAAAAGGATGTG